GATTCACAGACACCGGGCTGCGCAGGCCACGGTGCGGCCACATCGCAGCAACGATACGCATGATGCTGTGGGACTTCCTGACAGTACTGGACTGAAGATCGCGCGATACAACATCTCCGAAACCCAAAGAGGGCCGGCAACTCGAGCACATTTGCAAAAAGTGGGCGCTAAGGTAGAAGCTCATGCCAGCTCTCAACGAAATAAGAGCTTTGGAATGCAACGCCGAGGCCACAGCACGTGGCAGCTGTCCGAAAGACAAAAACACCATTGCTTGCATAGGATAGCAAAGCTGCAAAAGCCTCACATGATCAGTAGACGATGTGATAACACCTGGCAGGTCAACGGACTAGATGACCGCCGGTCCGTCACACTAGCTCTGCAATATTTATGATGATCAATCATGTCTGGTTATTTCCACACTTCTTCAGACCGCGCTTTCAAACCAGTTCTAGAACGGCGGCGCGCAGATCTTGAGGCTCACTCCCAACAGTGATTGCAGTACTATCGCGCTCTCTGTGTGCATACGTGTGACAGGCAAGGTGAGCGAAGGAGATAAGTTGGCAGCCAGCTACCCAATTCTATATAGAATAACACCAGTTGCCTTTAAAAGCTCTAACAAGCGATTCAGGGTGACCGGCCCCCCGAAAGGCTTCCGTACTGTCGGGCCTCAGCCAAACCCGAGATCTTCAGAGATGTACCTCGGCCATCCCCAAGATCCCCGGAGAGGTCTGATCCCTGGTCTCTTCCGACGCCGTTACCCCGTGAGACGCGCCGCCTAGAACACGATAAATGACTTGCCGGCACGTCACGGCAGTCGGCGCCGACAAGCCTCCTCTGGTGACAGGTGAGACCGGTTTGGTTGACGGACCTGCAGCGACCCGGCGCGCGCGGGCGCCGCCGCCCCCTCCCCTCCCCGCCTGCTGACATCGCTCCAGCCCACCCCCGCACGGGAGGCGGCCCCGCGGTCGCTGGCGGCACCCTCCCCCGACGCCCCACGGTGGGCAGAGGATCATCCGCCGTCGGCACGGCTCGCCCCCGAGCGGCGCTTCACGGCCCGTTCTGCGGCTGTAAGCGCCAGGCAGAGCGCCATTTTTCACTTCCCGTCGCTGACGTGCATGCTCGGCTGTCATCGGCGACGTACTCCCTTCTCTAAACCGGGTGCAAACAGCCGAAAAAGCGCCTTCCACCGTCTCGTCGCGCCGCTTCGAGGACAACCGGTTGCGACGGGAGCGAGCGGCGAGGCCGCTACCTGGCCAGGATCGCATCACGCACCTGACCACGCGCCGGTGCACTGAGCCGGCCCGCTACCGCCGCCGCCGCCGCCGCCGCCGGCCCTGCACACTCGGCAGGATATATGTAACTGGATGGCTTTAACTTCTCACCCGTCACGCGGCACGCAAGGTCTGCAAGCGCACACTGAAGTCTTGTAGCGGCCGGCTAATTGCGCTTGTTGAACTAACGAGATTTTACACCTTGTTAGATATTTGTGATGGCCTATGTCATTTTCGAGGTGCTATCGCTCGCAGTGCACTTACGTGAGGTTTGCGCCCGATCGTGCGGAAACGTTGCGATAGGTACGGTGGTGTGGAGGCGGACAATAAATCACCACACATACACACTCAAGGAGAGATTGAGATATTCAAGACAGCAACGGCCACATTAACTATGAGGTGTTATATAAGGTATATGAACCCGCCTATTGAGCTGCCCTTTTTGCATTCGCCGTAGACGGCCTTGCAGACTGAGGGTGATATATGTATCGGCATATCTGTACACTCTCTGTCACCATGCCGGGCAGCGGACGCTGCTCCCAGCCATCATGCAGATGCATCTGATCCTAATATTTTGCATGTATTGAATTGTTCACGGCTTTCAGTTCCGGCTATCACACAATCACGGATGGGAAACATCGACAGACGCTGGCTTGGCGAAACTACCGGAACCACCAGCGGCTTTCAGTGATGTTTGTATGCTTGTTTAAATGATAGTGCGCACTGTCAATGGAAGTTGATCCAGACTTGTCGCGCCACATTCTCCACCTGAGTATGCAGGGTACCGTTATGATATTCGAGGGAATGCTTATGCTTTACGAGGAAGCCGGCTTTTTGCAAATGCACAAATTGCAAATGCACAAATGCTGTAACTACTCTCGAAACGATACTACCATTCAGCCGGCGTGGAATGCTCTTCCATATTACATCTTTGCCCACGATCCTAACATTTGATCGCCAGGATGATCTCTTCTTGTGACTTTTTCAAACAATTCCTTGACTGTGTCTGGTCTGCGAGGCATGCTTAGACATATATACGACGATCGGTTGGACTGTTCAATAACTGCCAGCTATGGCTGAATTAAGCTACCAGGGGCTTCCTATCGACAAAAACAAATGAAGCACAGTTTAAGATATGAACAAATTTGCACGAATAGGAAAATATAGCTTTTAAGGCGGTTTTACGCAATCACCAAAGCCAGCTAGGTCTTCGTATGTTGTGTAGCATTTGTTTTACTTTTGATAAAACACTGTAGCAAGCTGTTTCATTTCAGCCCAAATTTAGACTTGTAAACATTAAAAATAAGTGCATTTTGCATACGTTATATCTCTCAGAACGCCACGCATCAATTCTTGATATTTTTCTGTTCCGGATAAAAGTGGGAGGCAAGCTTCATCTTCTGCATCATGCTGATTTGGATACAATTTGCAAGCACTCACCTCGTAAAAACTTATAGCTATTGGAGTCAAGGTATTTTAAGGTCATTTGTACGAGTCGCAGACGCCTTATAGCACCTGTAAATCAGTCCTCTGCAAATATTCCAAAGAGCAATGTAGGCTGGTGAAGGTGTGGCACTATCAACCCATTGATATATTCCTCCTGACAAGGCGTTATGTGCTGTGTCTGATGTTAAGATTGTCGATTCGAAAATGCGTCGCATTCGCTCAAGGAATGGAAATATGGGCACGTTTTGGCACGACTGCGTAATCTGGAAGCATTTCCGTATAGGGCCACCTGACGTGCAGTTCCATAACATATGGGATGTTCTTGCCCTAAACAAAACTGCGGACAACTTTTGGTCTCAGCCCTTCATGAATAAGAGAATATGACGTCATTCTAGCCCCCTACGACCTAAAATTGGCCCCATCTCTTGCGATCACAAATTTCTTTAAGATTGCGATATTCCAATGCTGCAATATATACAATGTTTGTGAAAACGAGTATAGGAAATGGTCATTGGGTGAAAGTTAATCACTACCCCAATTCGTGACTCTTCGTGACGTATACCGATGTCATTTTATTGAAAACTGTTGTATCTCGCTGTTATTTCGATATCAAGTTTTTACTGCCTTCAAGCCATCACACGACATCAAGATTAATCGCCAAGGGAGAACTGACTGTTACAAGGAATCCAAGTGGTTTTATTTGTCATTAAGACGATAACGTACATGGAAACCATGGAAACTACCAAAGCACTTTGAAATCACACCAAGGTATCTAAAATTACACACTATGCCATCAATCAAACGCACGTGATGTGGGAAACTATCAGAATATCAATATGGAGAATTAGAGCAAGGGGAACTCTCTGTTAATACATACATCACCTGCATTTTTATCTTCCCACAGATTCATTTGACCACACACTACAGCTCCCTCTACGCCTATTCTGATCTGCTACTCCCAGTTTCCAGCTACTTTCTTGAGCGTTTAATTACAAGTAAATGGACAAGCCATATCTGAATGGCTCACAGATTTACGGCATGTTTATCATATCCTAAAAAACAAGTAAAATTCAGATAAGTCGGTTTGTCGCCAATATGTTAGCAGCACCTTCCGACTGCATCAAAACACGTTCCATAAGAACCATACAGCACTGGACATCACACTGGTGCACCTCAAAGTCATGAGAGGCGGGTAACCCGAACTTGGTAAAAAGACACATGCAGCAATACACAATACATACCCGATAATCACATGAGCCAAATTCATTATTAACCAATGCGGTGACATACATGTACAGCGTTGAAGGGCAGCTTTTAACCTAATATTGTCTACCGCTTGATAATTAATGGAGGTTCGTAGTGTCGGCGCTGCAAATATACGAGATCCAAAAATCATTCGAAATTAACGCCTTTCAGAAGGATTACGTTCATTGCGTCTGTGCTTCGAGCGAGGATGGAAAGCATGGCATGCCAGGTTTATAACCCTCGTTCAAAAATAATAATTGCACCATTTATCCACCGAGAGATTCTTACCATGGCACCTTCATTTCAGCGACTTTCCTGCGTGCGTTCCTCGCGTCACATCATCTCAGAACTGCCACATGCATCCTACTGCCATTGGGTAAACGCAACAATGGCCAAGCGATGGCTGGTGCATGTTTGACCAGGGTCGAACAGCCGGTTTCACCACTATAAGCCAGCACGTGCAGATTTTTTGCCAGCATTTTTTGAAGACCATCAGGCTCGCAATGCAGCCTGATGACAGTGATAAACTCCCTATCCAAACAGCAGACTCCCGTCGACAGGCCTGCCTAGCGCCGGGGCCCGTCCTCCCGGGCGACCCCACCGCTGCCCAAGGCCGGGGCGACGCTGCCCGAAGCTGGGGCGGCGCTGCCCGGGGGCGGACAGCCGGCCGTCGCCGCCGTAGAGTGTGTGCCGTCGGCGGTGTTACGCGGCCGTTACGGCTGATGGATGCGCTAGCCGCCGGGCCGCGGCCCTCATCGGTTCGCAGGCGGCGTTTGATAGAGCGGGCCGGCGGTGTCTGGCCGGCGACCCCGCCGCCACCCCGCCCCGCCGGGACAGGGCGAGTCCTTCCACGGACGGCACCCCTCCCGACGGTCGGAGGGCGCAGAAACAAGGGTGCAGTCTCGCGGCAGCCGCCGTCATACTTAGGAGGGCAATTAAGGGATGTTTTGGCGAGGTCGGAGCGCTGACCATGGGCTGGGGGCGCCGATCCAGCACGTGGAGCGGCGGGCAGCGGCGCTCGGCGCCAGCGCCACTCACCTGTCATCGTAGGCAAAGTCCGCGTCTAACGTGTTGTAGTACAGGAGGAACGCTAGCACGGAACTAATCACTGCCAGGGGTGCCATAGACGGCCATCCTTCTGCGCGCGCCGACCGCACAGCACTAACTGCGGCCGCCGACCGGCCCGCTAGTTCTCGCTTTCGCCGCCAGGTGGCAGTGGGCGCCATGACGCCGGAGGAGCGCCATGCACTCCGGCGCGGATTGACAGCCACTATGATACAGAAATACGGCGGCCAGAGACAGCGCGGCCAGCGGCCGGCGCCGCGGCCGACGGTCGTTACGGCGCAGTGCCGGAAAATCATTGGTAAAATTAGACTTGCGTGACGGCTGCCGTGGCTGGCGGCGGCCGGGGGGCGGAGTCAAACACGGGGCGGCGGAGGCTCAACGCCCGGCGCCCGACGCCGCGCACCGCGCACGTGCAGCGGTGAGACGGACTTACCGGTGCGATGGCCAAGTCCGAGCTGTGCTGTGCTGTAGGAAATAACGACGTGGTATAGTCTTTCAACATCACTAGATGAAATGCATGTCTTCAATATGTAGACGAATGGCGTCCGAACAACATCCTGGTGGGGTTGACTCCGTCAGACTGGAGAAAGTCAACAAGCATGATATTTGTGGTATCGATAGATTTAACTGTTATTGTAAGCCCCTATCCCTCTTTTCCCTGACTGGTCTTTCTCTCATTTGTTCCTCAGTTCTGATTTCACAACAGGGACGCGGAAACTTCCCAAACTGTGGGAGGGTTAAACCCCTTTTTGACAAGAAGAATATTTCAATACACCGCCACAGATTCAGTGTTAAATGTTTACAGAATGTTAGAGAGCTTAACCTTCCAGTCCCCCAGTTCCTATCGTACGCCCGAGCTCAGTAGTGCGGGTTCGGCCATTTTGTTGTAAAAACAAACAAAAACACGTAATATTGAGGAGAAAAGGAAATGCTTAGAATGCTACTTCCTTTTCCAAAGCAGATTTCAGCAACGTGCTTGTTTGGAGGCGCAGGTAATGCTTCTGAAGGTCGTAATCATCAGTTAGCATGACCGTCCTTTTCCGCGTCCTCCTCACCATCATATTCCATCACGGTTATAACCAGGTGAGAAGATTACATATGGTTGCAAACAAGTTGGTTGCGAGTGTTTGAACGCGACATTTCTTCATCATGAATGAGCCGATAGATTTATTTTGGTTACAGATGCGAGTCCAGTGCAGTTATTTATTCCAAAGGGTGCTTTTTTAAGATCTCCACTCGCGTGCTAAGCAATGAAGAACACAGCGTTTGAGAACAGCTATCTGAGACCATCATGTCATAAAGTTTGATAAAACTCAACGATCACAGAGTGCTGCTGAGTTGTCCAACCGCGGTATTTGCCGCGTTTTCTACGAATATCTGGATATCAAACAGGTACTGCATGTCTGTACGGTTGGATGACTTATGAAGCCATTGACTAGCTGCACAACTGTAAAACTGCGGAAGCTGTGCAGACTGCTTATTTGTTTTACCAGGGCTGTTTGGTCCGATAGTCTGTGCTTTAGGAAACTCACCACTTGTGCCTTAGGAACTGTGAATAAGAATGACGTAAACATCCCAGGCACCATGCAGATCAAGTCCAGCATTTCCCCTTTTTCTCAGTCACATTTGCTAAGCATTTTTGTTTACACGCTTGATTATACGATTCTAAAATGAAGAATAATCACGCAATGGGGTTTTCAGTTGCTTTCATCCGCAAGCAAAACCTTTGGTATAGATCATTCCGTGATGCCCCGACAGGAACGTCATTTCAACCCGACACTTACTGGTGTTCTGGCAACATCCAGCTTGTTGAAGAGGAGAGATGCATTTAACACTGTCGTAAATATCTACGGATCCATTCAACTAGTCCGGCATCTTCCAAACGGAAAATATTATTTCACCACATGATACCAGTACACGACACTTCATAGACAAATATCTCATCGATGACATCACAGGCCAGATCAAAGGTCACAACTTTCGAAGACTCATCCCATTCAGATGAAACTGAAATGGATGAATGCAGATGTTTGTTGCATGTTAGTCAACAGGTACGTAGATTTACGTACGTTCAGAGACCCAGTTCCATATCAGGTCCCGTCATGCAGACAGACTTTGGCGTTTTTCCTCAAACAAGCCTGTATAAGCCCGCTATGAGCTTAGAGCCCTTATGCTGAGTTACTGGCATTCAATATGCCAGGAAGCACCAACAAAAAGACGTTAAGAGCAACCATTGGCCACATTAACGGTATTCGACGTTGCAACCTGCGCTCATACTCGCAAGTGGAAAAGGTTCAACAAAATTAAGCAAAAAATCGCACTCAACAACCAAGACATGTGTATCCAGAAAATGCCTATAGATCGCAGCATACCACAAAAACACATAGCACATATGAACACATAATGCTGAAAACCCCAGCACTGTAGGCCTTTCTTGCTTGTGTCATGCTTAAGCCCCATTAATTTGACGATCTCCGCAGCCCGTGGGATGGTATTGGCAGATGTGCAGAGTGCATTTTCCACAGAATATATTAACCATTCTTGAACGTGTGGTGTGGGGTATGGGTACCATTAAGGCCTTGCTAAATCAAGAGGTCATATGCAGCTTATGACTCAACGCGGAACGCGACACTCATTTGGCGGGCCGGTTCTGCCCACAGTTCATGACGCGCTTCTGCTGCGTGATCTCTTCAGCGCGTAGTACCCAAACTTTGCTTTAGATTGACGTAATTTAGGATGTCTTGCAAGTTAGACCAGCCTGTAACAAGCCTATGACACAGTTGCGACTATCGACAGGGTGCAGCCCTCATTTGCCATGGAACTGGTTCGAAATCTGCAAGCCGCTCTCAAAATTACGCTGTTCCATCTTTTTTGGACGTTATCTGACTGTGACTTAGGACCACATGACCCCAAGTTGAGGATCTGCCAATCAGATCTCACGTACTGTGGGCTTGCATAGCAACATATCTGACCACTAAAATGAAGGCTTGTGTACAGCATGCAAAACCGTAAAAGAAGTTCGGGAACCTTTTTTACCTTAGGCAAATTTCGCCTTGTCCTTGTGATGTGAACTTGGGTGACATGAACTTTAAATTAGAGCATCATGACCCATAGCCCAGACTCAAATTCGTAAGATAGCAGGCTCCAGTGACTCGGGAGTTATGACAGGATGAAATAGGGCCAACACCCTGTTTCGTGCAAGTGGGTTAAAAATTGAATAGGTGAGATATAGTATTGAAGTTTTTTGCTTCAAGACTGACCACATTCAGGCTACGTTTGATAGGAGTGAAATGCCAAGGGCAAACCCAGGAGCAACACAGACGGGTGTTTGGGTGTAAATTTGTTACGCAGGCTTAGCTAAATGACTTATGGAAATGGTGAAATCGTGCTAACAAAAATTGCTGGGACATGCACATGACAAAATATAGCCAGATAACTAACATGTGACGCATGCATAACCAAACAGAAACAGGTACCTCACGCTATTAAATGGCCATCACTTGCCGGCAATATGGTAATCTGTTTATTACGTTCTGATTGCTGGCATCATCCGTATCGATAGCTGACATGCTTAAGGGACATGCATATTGATGTGAGTAAGGGATGCGACGGGGCCACTAAACCCTACATTCGCATTCGTACATCCATCACCAACGAAAAGTGAGCACAAATGCATCAACGCTTTAAAAACTCCTCCATCACTGATGTGTTTAGATATAGTAATTTTTGCCAGCTTGTCAGAAACGCAAATAAGATATATATTTCCGTCCCACCGTTTATAGCATTCATCCATAACATACTCGAGGACAATTTTACTTTACCTTTCACACATTAAGGTGTCTACCCAGGCACCGCCTGGGCTGGGTCTGCAGTGGCTTTTTGGTGGGTTGTGTTCCGTGTGAAGAGATCATCTGTGGTGGCAGTTACCATTTTAAGTCGTTTTTTCGAAGACATTGACCTGGCAGATCGGAAAGCTTCAACAAAAGGTGACAGTCTAACTCATCATTTAACACCCACTACTGCCAAAAATCCTGGGAAATTTTATAATTCTTAAGATCAACTCCCAAATCAGCTTCATATTGTAAAATTTCATTCAAATTGATCATACGCATTACGTTTTGCATTTTAGCACCTTCTACAACAATGTGTTTAAACAACTTCCCTCTGCCTACTTAAATCATTGTTGACTTTCATTAGAAGTGCGTGTCAAAAGATAGTAAATTCCCCGATCGCCATTTTAAGCTTTGAACGACGCAATTTGCCGAGTGTATTTCGTGATCTGCGGGAATCAAACTCACATCGCATAGCATTCAAGTCAAATTCACAACTTGGACTTAATGCGCATGAGTAACATTCATGCAGTGGCTGTGTCAAGTTCATAATACCAAACACTAGGACGACACGTTATTATAACTTCAACCCACAGAACGCTTCCAAGTGATGAATGCATCCAAAGACAACGCCATTTATGAATGTAATAACTTCTTAGGTTATCATTCTCGTTTACTGTAATAATATACACTGCAGGATTTCATGACTCTTTCTCTCCTTACCACCATTTGTAAAACACGCTAGATTCATGTGATTTTTTTTTTTACTCGCAGAGCACCGTACTCCCTATTCATTGCTACACAATTGGCAATATTATTTGGCGAGCCAAACACCAGCTGAGGGGGGGGGGGGGAGGGCGAGATGTTCGACCATTCATTCCACAGCACTGCTTACAGCCCCGCGATGCTCTTGTAAGGACCCATCTCGTTGAGGCGCACCTCCAGGATGGCCCACAGAGTATGGATGGGCTTCAGGTCAGGCAGTTGCCCGGTCATGCCTTCTTGTTCGTAGCCCCAGGACCTGATCACCTAATCGCCTGGTCAGGGGAGTTCCTCGACCATGCTATCTTACTATCCGGAGCCCCGGAGCGGTCACCTGTTGAGGGAGTTCCTCGGTCACGCTTTACTGTGCGGGGCCCCGGAACAGTCACCTGGTGAGGGAGTTCCTCGGCCATGCCTTGCCGTCCAGAGCCCCGGAACAATCACCTAGTGAGGGAGTTCCTCGGCCATGGCTTACTGTACGGGGCCCCGGAACAGTCACCTGGTGAGGGAGTTCCCCGGCCATGCCTTACTGTGCGGGGCCCCGGAACAGTCACCTGGTGAGGGAGTTCCCCGGCCATGCCTTACTGTGC